AGTTTTAGCAGAGTATTCGTTACTCACGTTCTCTTCCATTTTTCAAATTCTTATTATAATTTATTGGTTAGGCCATAATATATAACAAACGCAATTGTTCAGAAGAATAACATTTTTATTATACCTGTAATTAAAGTTATTTTAGTTATAGTATATCAAAATACACAAATACATAGATACTTGGTTGAAATTAGACTTGAATTTCTGATCTCATATTTTTTGGTATTGTTCGATGCTTCGACCTACACATGCATTTTTTAAGTAAATGTCTTAATTCTAAATCCATTCTTTGTCTATTGTAAAAAAAACATGCGTTATCAATATAGTAGATGATTGGAAATAATTTACATTTAATTTACCTAGCAATTTCATGAAGTCGCTTCATTACATGCACGCTCTCAGTTGCAAGATCTGTCGTTAAGTAAAATAACTTGAATGGAATAATATTTTCATTAGAAATGCGGTCAAAATAGTGGTGCAATAATTCTTACCTAGCTTGACGTTTGCCACTTGAAGCCCAGGATAGAGCTTCACATTGGTCAACTGTTCTTCGAGTTCTCTTGTTTCCTGCATAATGGTTTTAAGATTAGACATAACTTTCTCATGTTGGTCGAAAACATCTGCGAATGATAGGCCTTCAATGGGAATAGACTCATATGCGGAGTTTTTCTGCGGCAAATGGAGTGGCATGCTGAATCTTCTGTTGGCCGTTAAAGTAAGTGAAAACGTATCCACTGAACGATTTAGGCACGTTTTTTCCTTTGAACACGGATCTTAGTTTAAATAAAATTGTTAAATAAACTTGTTTCTTTTTTAAATTCAATAGTCTTTAAAAAGGAAACCCACTTTCTAAATTCACATTTTGGATTTCCTTGTTTAATGAGTCCTTCAGGGAAATTCTCACAGAGTGGCAACTACGAACAAAAATTGAAATACAGTTTTGCACCTGAAAAGTCATAGCCAATATGATAGTAACCTACCGCTTCATAGGTCCTTCATTTCGCTTTATGCTCTCTGTAACATAGTTTAAAATGTTTCATTTTATCAAATTAGTGCACGTAACAGGAGCAATCTAACCTGCTTCAAGATCTTCTTTAGTGACGATTTCTTTTGTTCGAAGCTTGCACTTTAATCTAGAAATTGTTCTGTGAATTTTTCGCATGCTGTCTCAAAATCTTAACTTGTGAAAAACTAATGGATTTCAGTATGGTTAGGAGTAATGAAAAAAATTTACTTAACTTGATCACAACTCGATTTGATGACTACATTTATTATCGGAACTGGTAAAAGGGATCATTTGCACCATAGATTAGTTATTAAATGGTCGCAGTTTAAGTGGTGCTTTTCGAACTTCACTAACAATAGTTATGTGAGTTTATCCAACAGGATTTTCAAGAAATACAGGTTACTTATTCTCGCATTAATACGCAAATTACATGAATTTGAAAGTCATATCAAATTTCAAGGTGGTTTTGCTACGTTATACAATGAGTTTATATTTAAACTTTGAATCACCAATAAATTCATAGCCACTCCTACTGCATTACAAATATTACAAGAAGATCGAAACTTATATTAGTAGTCAGGGGGCATGTTCCAAAATTTAAGGCTTTCAGATTTAGATGTAGAATATCAATTACAATAAAATATATAAATATAAATATGCAGAACATATAAAGGTAAGGCAATAATTTTTATCTAGCATTTTGACATCCACCCTAAAACAAGTCTGTAATTATATTATAATATGCATTTCAAAAGTTTAGTGCCTTTCAGAATAAAGTAAAGCCTTCATAAATGAATAAAATATTAGTGAATAAATAAACGTTCATTAATTTAGCGAATTAATGTTGTTTTGATCTTGTTTTAATTAATCGGAAATAAAACGTATTTTATAAGCGCATCGGTCGTCAATCGTATGTTGAGTGGTCAGCATTTTACGAAACTTTGTAGTTAGGTTTTAGGTAATGTGAAGTTTGCAGCTGGACTTATTTATATAGGTCTTAAAATTAGTTTGATGGATCACCCAGTGTTTTTTAATAGAATAAAATTAATCAAACATTTGATGGATTCGTTCACCCCTATTCATTTCATTACGAATAGTATTTTATGTTATTTCTTAATTGAAATAGCCTCTCTTTTCTTAACTATTTGACTTCGATTTCTCTGCTTGTTATAGTAAATAGGGTTCTAGCTATTCAGTGTTTTTAAAGCGTTCAATGTGGCCGTTAATTGAGATATGTTTTACCTTTCGATTTTTTATCTGCTTCGTTGTTTGCTGTTTTCGCAGCTCCGATCTCAGATACAATTTATTCGCGGCTCATTGCTTCAGACCCTTTGAATAGGTCAATCCTTTCGATTATTCTTTTCTTCCTCTCGAATGTGATAATCGAAGCTATTAGTGGATGGGGGGATTTGGGAATGGAATATTAATTACCCATTTTGGTCATTATACTACTCCTTTAATTTTAATAGAACGAATGTTCTGACAGTACAGAACTAATTCTCTCTTCTATTAGAGGATTTCCTGGAGCTATTAAATTTTTACTAAACTGCTTATCACGAGAAGTGGGCAAGCCCTCATTTGAATAGTCTTAGTTCTCACCTAAGTCTCTCATACATGATTTTGGCTTCCGTAAGTAGGTGATTTGAACGATGGACATCTGGTTATTTGTGCCAGTTTTTCCACCCTATTTCCGCCGAAGGTGTCTGTGGTTAAGTGACCCATCGGAATCGCCTTGTTTGTTTTAAAGTTGACAGTGATTTTGGGGAGCATTCTGGCATGGTAAATATGTTGCCTTTTAGTCTTACGTGTGCCTCGTTACGCTTGATGATCGCTCAGACTTTTCTAGAATGCCCGTGTCTTCTTAGGCACAAGTCCTTCAAGTAGTAGGCCTTTACTATCGATAAACCGGAGTTACAAGACAGCATCATTTATTTTCAGACACATGCTGGGTAATGTCTGATCGGAAAAGAATGATTATGAGCCGTGTCCATACTGGTATGTTCCTTCTGTATTTCACATTGCTCATATCCTGTAGGGGATCCATTATCACCATTGTCAAAGAAACGGAAACGCATTCCTGGTCCTTTGAGTATGCTTTCGAAAAGTGATGTAAGTCTTGATCTTAATTTTTTACTTACTGTTTTGCACATTATTTAAATAGAACCTTTGTTTTTCAGCTTAGTTCCAAGAATGCTCCTAGGCGTAAAACTGCAGTAGGATGCGATTAATATTCCCATAAGAGTTTTTAGACCTCCTCCTCAAATGAATCTGCTAATCTAAGCCTTTCTGTCTGTGATATCTCCTCAACCCAAGTGGATGCAATCTGGGACAGGGTTGCGCGTCTATTCTGCCCAGAATCTTGGAAGATTTTTACTGATTACTCTATTGCTAAAATAGTTAAGGTTAGATCAAGTCGTTTCGAGATAGAGCGTTTTAGAGCGCAGAGAAAGGTTTTCCTCGGGGTAAAATCCCAGTTCTTTGTGCTTCGGTCGAGAAGATTGACATGGTACTTCCAATTGCCAAAGCCGTCTTACAGGATGAAACTGGTATGCTCTTGTTACTGATTATTTTGCTAGTAGTAAGGCGTGTTTGTGTTTTTTTCTTATGTCTTTCTTTTACCTTTAGGTAAAATCGGTTGCAGTATTGATAAAAGCGTGATTAACAAATATAAAAAGTTTTTTACGATTGGTGCTGTACTGGTTCTCAAACAGGTTAGTTTAAAATTTTTCTCTTAAAGTTTAAATCTTTTACTGCATATCGATCGGCCTTTAGTGAATTCGTTTGTTTATGTGTAGACAATTTAATGTATTTGCATTGGTATTTCACCTTGTGAATCGATTTTTTTATTCTTACATAACTGTTTCTGAGCACATTTATGCTATTCTAAGAAGGCTGTTCATATTTTTCAATTTGCTATGATAAGTAAGTGCACCTCTCAGTTCCTTGGGAAATGCTCTTTCCTTAGTTTGCAGTGGTTGAAAAAAAACTCATTTAGGCATGAAAATAGCGCTCTTGAGTCTCTCTCATGAGTGATCCACTTGAATTAAATGGTATTTATGGATTTTTCTATTTTATCTTCTTACATATCTATACATATTTTGCAATCCTTAGCCACTACTAGCAACATAAGTGCCATGGATTAAATCACAATCCTAGTAAAAAACGTTAGTTCAGCACCCAATAGCCCCTTTCTTGTCAAATTGGATTTAAAAACTTTCAATCATATCTTCAAACTGAGTCTCTCCCCTGACAAGAAAAGTAGTTGGCGCCATTCATATGAAATGCAGTATTGCAACTTTTTCATTTTACTTCTTTTTCTGCGTGCCCATCACCCATTCTAATCCTTTTTACCTCGTCTCCCCCAGCTTTACTCTGGTGCTTTTTTCGCCCTGTTCAATTTCTTTTTTATTATTATCTTATGGTCCGACCCACCTCGTAAACCTCGACCGTTTCATGTGCACTAGTATTTGCTTACTTACTTAATACCAACTTTTCTGATTTGATTGCCAACAATGCCTCTTTCCGTTTTGTCTCTGCTTGATGACATCTGCTAAATTTATGCAAGCGTTGCTGGGCGAATCTCTAATTGATAGTAATTTTCGATCATGCCTTACGCATTAACGATTGATGACGTCTTTCTAAATCCTAAGGAAAATTCCGACTCTAACTTAATTCTGAAGTGAAATTAATTGCTTAATCATATATCGTTTTACTCATTCACGATTACCACTTCTCTGCTTGTAATCTATAGCTCGTGCTCTTTCTAACCCAGTAATGCGACAGTAGTTTCTCACAATAATATGGCCACCCCCCTTTCATTACAATTACATCTTTCAGAAGCATCATTACTCAGTACTGTGGCTAGATTCATTTATCACACTTTCTATAGTTACTCTGCCAATTAACTAGATTTGGAATACTTATAGTGAAGCTCGCTCCTGTGTCAAGTCATAATCCCACCACTTATTCTATTTTTCCTTGTGACAAGTAGTTATAACTTCGATATATTCATTATTAAGCTTAATACCTAACATCCTCAATTCCATTGACTACTTGGCAATGACCCATTCTCTTGCTTAAGTAAACTGGGCTGTTAATTATTAATGATCTATTAATTTAAGAAAGGAATATTTGCTCCTGTAGCCATTTTTATGTGCTTGTTGGAGCGTTTTACCGGCATCGCCCTCTGCTTCAATGCTCTCTGCGATTGGGGGGGGGGGTCATTTGTAACTCCCTTTTTTCAATTCTTGCTGGTTTGCAGTTACATTGTTTACTACATTAATCCCGAATGTGTGCTCTTTTCCCTGAAGGGGATTTACCTCTAATAACGTTTAAAAAATGTTTATTTTAACTAGAGTGCTCCTTGTTTCCAATTCCCGTTTTTTTTCCAATATCTGAACTAGGCAGTCTCGTTTAGCAGGGTTGAAGTGGAGTTTGTTACTAAGACATATCGTATTTTACACCAGGGCCTGATTTGCCTACTGTCATAGAAACTGCCTTCACGGTTGGTTTTTTGTTTGATAGAAATGATAATTGAGGGTTTATCTGAGGTCTAAAAATGAATTTATTTCGTTTTTGGGTTATGGATGAGTTGTGTTGAAACTTGTGCGCTTTCTCAAGTATTTCCGATATATTGAATATTTGCTCGCAATCTTCATGTTTAGGTATTGGCATAGGTTCAGTTTGGCTGACTCTTCCGCATCCTGCTTTTTTGCACATTCAGTGTATATGTTTGCTTCTACTAACTCCGAATTAAGTCCTCATTTCTTTCTCCATTCCAGATTTTAAGCTTCCGATTATAAAGTCAACACCATGGTCAGTTTGAGTTTTTAGTAGTGACTTCCCGGATCTTTTAAAAATTATGTTTCCATTCAAATCAGGCCTAAAAAACAAGAGTTTCACCTAGACTGATATGGCGATCGTAGAACATCTTTATAAAGCAGTTGGCATTGGTCGATATGTTAATTTATTACCTCTTAGTATTTGGTATAGGTTTTGAGAAGAAAACTCGTTTTTCTATTTCAACTTCCAGAGATAAGCTTATTTTTTTCCTATGTATGACATTGAATAGTGGGAGACATAATTCATTTTTTGGAATTAGTTTGTTGATGATAGCACATATCTTAAATAAGCTTGAGCCTATATTTTCCGCTTTCACTTCCTGTTATTTAGTTGAAATAAATTATTAGTCTGGAACAATAGTAGATTTATGTCTACTTTGTTATTTCGGATATTACTCAAAGTAAAATTAGAGGAATGACTGTTATATTAGTTTGCCGATGTACCCAATTGACGAATGCTAGATTCAAATTAGGATTGACATTAATAGCAAGCTTTTCCATGGACCTCTTATTTTATTCTTTACCCTTCTTCCATGATATTTTGCTATGGGTCTTGAGTTGTATGCTTCTAACCAATGAAATTCGTTTCCATTCGTGATACTCTGTAATTATCTAGACACTTTTTATTAGCCTTTCATTTTTATAGGAGTCGGCGTTGTGATACTTAAAACATGTTATACCCTTTGTTATCGGTTTATATATTTACATTGGAAAGGGATTTTATAACTTGTTATTGATAAGGATAGTGTTGCAACGTATATGCCCTTGCACTAATAAAATATAATTTTTAATTCTTGTTATTTAGAATCATGAATTAAGAGTTTTCTCTGAAATAATTTTTAAACTCTGGACTTGAATGCTTTTATGGATACAAAATAACAGGGCGACTTGGTGCCTTGTTTTAAATCCAAAAAATCAATTTTGACCTTATTGCCATCCACTAACATTGTGCCTTTTCTTTTACATCAGATAAGTCTCTTCAGTCTGAACCAGAAAACCTTCTATTTGAATATAACTCCCTCAAATGTGATCCAGATTTTCCTGGATGAGGCTGCATTCGATTCGAGATTATTGGCTAGTGCTCGAGCCTTGGAGGATGTCTCAGTATGTGGACCCAGCTTCCCCCTCACTCATCCGCCCCTTTCGTTGAAAGAATTGAAAGACCTTGTCGCAGAATGTTTTTCTCCTCCTTCGCCACCTGCTCCGTCCTCTCCTTCCATCGTTAGGTGAGTTCGTCTCTACCATTCGGATTTTTTACATTCTCTTCGAAAGTGTTCTGAAATGTTCACGTTGCCATTCATTACAACTTTCTTCGTAAGATAAAATTTGAGAGCTTCGAAGTATCTCGAAAAGCAGCTGGATGATCTATACAACTGACAGACAGTCTTCTGGCTAAAACTCAATTTTTTCTCCTTGCTGAATCTCATTTATTGTTTATCCAATGAATACCTTTTTCAATTTCACTTTTTAATTACTCCAAAGTTTTGAAAACTGGTCTGTTTGACGCAGCTTCTTTCGGAGTGTAAGGGGAGACCTATTACAAAGGAACAATTTCTTTTGAAACAATTCCCTTATTTCCATCGTCTTTCATTATTATTATCCTTTAACTTTCTAATTGAAGTTACTAGACCTTTATTTGGCAAATGCACATTTAGAAGAGTAACTTCTAAATCCAGTGCAAATTATTTTCAAAATTCGCCTTGTTTGCATTATAATTCTCTACTCTACCATATGTACCATTATTAGTGGCTTATTCGGTTCCGTCGTCTTAGATTATACTGCGTCTATACGCCCTCAAGCTTACCCACCACGTCGTAGATGCTTACGCAAATGTGCTACAATTAAATCCTCTTTTACCAGTTGATTTACATGGCCTTTCCACTTATCCTTTTCTTGTAAGTTTGTTTTATATCTGAGTGTCTAGTAATGCACTAGATTACTGATTACTGATTACCTCCTTCAGTATAGTTTAGGCCTTCGGGGTTACTGGGACTTAACTAACCTTTTCATTTGACTGGTATCAAATCTGTTTTTTTTCTAAGGATGTCATAGTCTGTTGATTAGACCTGTTTATGGGTGGATTCGTTATAGCATTTCTCTCACTACCCATAAACTTGTTTTTATTTAAAGAGGAACTGCTGTAGGTCTTTAGACAAACATAGAGATAATTATTGAAATATTGTAACCTGTTTTTGAGGAAAATATGTGTAATTTAAGGGTAATTTGTCTCACCCTCATAGGTATGCCAACTGATTTGTGCTTCTGAATGAAATAGCTCGCATAAGCAATCTGATATAATTGGTCTTTTCAATCTATTTTTTCTTTATTTTTTTTTCGTTTTTTTTACCAGGCGCAAATGATTTTAATTTTATTATTCTCACCAGCTTCACCTAAAAGAGAAGTTAATCAATGTCTACATTCTACTTGTAGTTCCTTTGCCAATAATAAGCGTGATGGCTGAAGTATGCTTATCATCTCTTAGTTTAATCCTTTTAATTTTTTTTGCACCAATATAATCTCAGTACTACATATATTATACCACCAGAGAAAAACAAGTTACTTTGATCTCACGGATAGCCGATATCACTGTCACTGCAGACCAAGCTTTTGGCTAGTTATTCGCAAGTAGTACCGCTGGTCTTAAGAACTTAGCATGTTTTCCGACAGTCAAAGCGGCCATGCTTTCATTATCTCGATTGTGGGAATATTTCTTCTACTTCTTACATGTCGTAAACAACTTGTTACATAATGAGATGAAGTTATTTACGCAGGGTGTTGGTGAAATGATCCTATTCACTAGCAGTTTTTGCCATGGTGCTCTTATCCTCATTGTATTATCTTAACCTAATATATTCAAATTTTATTGTTAAATTCCTTTTCGTTCTAAAATAAATGTAATTATTTGATGAACGAATTCGCATTTTTAGCGCAGTAGATCGTGATTCATCGCCCAGCATTTTTAGTAAATATGAAAATTTTCCCAGAAATGTTTAACTATTTCATAAAATTAATGAGTCAAGCAAAATCTCACTCTAGAATGTTCATATTGAACTTTTCAAATTTCACTGTTTGAGAAACGCCTACAAGCAGTTATCTGAGATATAGGGAAATAAAACCCCTTTTTTTGTAAAATTTCTTCTTCTTGTCATGTATTATTGGGTATCAATGTCATTACCTCCAACTTTATCCTCTTAAATGTTATTATTGCATTATTGTTGTCCACATGAAGTTAAATTGATTAAATTTACACTTGGTTCTTATCGATTTCTTCTCTTTATCGGCCTTGATACAATTTTGAGAATATTTGTAATATGTCTGTTTTTATCCCTTGCAGACCCACCTATCCTCTGAAACCTACAGTTGCTCCGCGGTCTAATGTAAAGTCTCTCAATATCACCACTCCCAAAAAAGCAAAGTGCTCCTCATCTCGACACAATACTTCAAAAAATAGTCCGTCACTTCAAGCGTAAGTGTGGCAGTGCTTTTGAGACAATTATGATATATTCAATGGGGATAAATTGGGTGGCATTTCTGAGTGGGATTCTAATATTAAGTCGTTCAGGTCCGAGTACCGTGGTCCTCCTTACGTCCTGCATTATGATTTGAATTGGTTACACAGTCATGCAATGTATGAGAAGCTAGTTATCATTTCCTTTCAGATATCGCTGCTAATATGCACTAATAGTGGTTAGATTTTAATTCGCTTCATTTTTGTGAAACATTGTTATTAAAGCGCTTTCTGTATTGGTCAAGTTACTAATTTACTAAGCTTGCTGAGTTATCACCCGGTATCAGATTACAAGCTACCTTATTAAAGTCAGTCGCCCACTTCTGTAGCTCTATCACTTCCTCGCCGTATATTTATAAACGTCATTAATGAGTCACAATATTTAAATGTCTTAATGTACACTGGTTAGCGATTTAAGTAAATAACGTAAAGCGAGCTACTTTATGAGCCCAGCTCTCCCTGAGTTCGATCAATTGAATTCGGCCATATACTGCATCGGAGTATTGAGATATCTTTGTCATAGTTTCAATCCTACTTAAATCTATATTTATATCTGTTCTTTATCACGCGCTAAATAGGCTTTGGTTGTCTTAGTTTAACCGGCACATTACTTTTTACTTGAAATATCAACTGGTATTGAAGCTAACTTATCCAAGCGGCAACGACATCTAGGCTCTTTATAAACTTAGAATAGCCTGGTAACTATATAGACTGGAAGTGGACAAGATCAACAGGTTTCTTAAATATACTATTTGTTTTAGAGATCGGAATTGGCGGCTTAATTCCAGTCCCAAAACAGCTGCAGTCAAATCTGAAGTATCTTCTCCCTCAACACCAAGTTTTTCGTTACCTCCTCAATCTCGATTTGGTATTCGATCAATACTAAAAAAGACATTGTGCACAACACCCACAACTCCGAATTCTCCGGTATTAATGGCTTCCAATCTGGATTCTGGGGGAGAAAAACCGGATTTTTATAAAGGCGAGTTTGTAGATTAAGTTATTACCATTTTTATACTTATTGTCAAATACTGATGCATTCCATTAAAGTTGAATTCTCTATTTACCAACAGTAAAGATAAGGAGTTATAAATTGCAACTTGGTATTTTTTATTCTAGGTTAAAATATCTAGTTGTTCTGAACTGCACCGCAAGGCGTATTTTTACTCACTTTATACTTAAGTGGACTTTTCGATTCTGCTATCATTTGATGTGCGTTCAATCACTCATGCCAATATTTAGTATTTGCAGTGACTTATTTTTTGAAATTATTTCCATCATAAATTTTTGTGGATTTCCTAACGCTTCTTGAACAATAAATGTTAGTTGTAGTTTGATTTTTTTGGAGCATCAGTGATCCCTAGAAAGGCTAGGTTGAAAGCACTTTAAAATGATTTCCGAAGGAGCCATTTGCAGGTTCGATTATGTTTCTTCGTACCCGCTTACGGTCATCGACATCTACTTCATATAGCACGCTAAATCGTCAAATTATGATGGTTTCATCTAAGAATGTTCCATTTCGCCTATAATCCTTTGCGCTTGAAGGTGGACTTTCGAAGATTGAAGCCATTAGGGAAAGGGCATAGTGTAACGTTTTCGGTCTTTATCTAACGTTATTCTTTCGTTGACTCTAAAAGAATGGTACTTATTTGATTAAGAGATAATGGAGAATTAAATTCATGCGTATTTTCTTCACTCCTTATAATGATAGTTATTTATTTCAAATGGCAGGCGTTATGATAGGTATCATTAGCCCATTAGTTGACTTCGGGCTTCACAGAAAGAAAGAAAGAGGAACACCAAAGTGTCAAAAAGTCGAGAGGGGGGACAGAATAATGATTCACAGACGTAAAAGAGACAGACATAAAGGTAGAAAAAAGGTGAGTACTGTTTAATTAGTGGAATATGAAATGCGGTGGGGTCTCGGTAGTTTGAAGTCAGAAGTCAACTGCCGATTAATAGACTTTTTTGCCGTATGAGTATACGTTGCCCAGAGTGCACCACGTGGAGGTAAGTCTATCGCAC